GCGTGGGCGGCCGGTGGGGCGTGACTCACGATCATGTTCAGGACAGCCGTGGAGTCGATGAGGACGTCGTCGCCGTCGGCGACGCCGCCGTGCTTGAGCGCGCGGTTCTTGTAGTTCGATCGGTTGGACGTGCCGATCGACAGGTACTCGAAGACCTGAATCATCGAGTAGAGCCCGTTCCCCCGCGGCGCGAGGGAGCCGGGGACGCCCCGGAGCACGATGCCCTCGGGCGCCTCGTCGATGTGTGTCACATGGTTGCCAGTAGCTGGTTCAGGGCCGGTCGCCGGCTGGCGGGCTGGCGCCCCCGCCGTGTCGGCGAGGGCGCCCCTCGTCGTCGTCCGAGCGTCGGTCAAGGGCGGGGGCGCCATCCTGACTGAGGCATCGCGGCGATTGAGGCACGCCGACGCACGAGGCGATTGAGCTCGAGGCCTTCGATGAGGTGCACCAAAAACAAAACGCTGTTTTGTTTTGCTTGACGATGTCAATACCTCCCTTGCACAAGAGATGCGCTTATTGTTCAGCTCGTCGTCGTCGGGCTGGGCAGCCCGTGCCGTGCGTTCAGGTCCGCCAGTCGCGAGCTCCTTCTTCAGATCCGCAGCGGCGCCCGGAAAACTTGTGTGAAATTGGCGAGTTTTTCCTGCTGTGGTGAAGGACGGCTTGGGCAGCGGACGCGCACCTGGGAGAGCGCTCCGGTCTGCGACTCGTCCTCGCAGCCGCCGTGCGATCAGCTGGTGCTGCGCGGCCCGTCGTCCATCTCGGGCGCCCGCCCGAGCGCCGTGGGCAGCGCCCTGGCGTCCGGCAGCGACGCTCCGGCCGACTCGGACGACGCGTTCGGGTAACGCCGCGGCTTGGTCTCGGGCGCCCGCGCGGTCTCCTTCGGGCGGGAACCCGGTACGTCGCCTCGACGACGGGCTGACGGAGCTCCGTCGACGGCAAGATCGAGGACGGGGAGCCCCCTCGGCTGCGTCCGCCGACCGTCGTTTATCGCGACGGCGATTCATTCGGCGCCGGCCGGTACGCGCGCCGCGCCATCACCGTCGAGTACATCTGCGCGCGCTGGCGGTGCGCCTCGACTTTTCCTTAAAACGGCAAACGTGCGGCGAAGAGGGGACCCTTGGCCTCCCCTTTCGGGCCGAAGAACCTCCTGTAAGAGCGCCATCTCGAACCGGCGTGAGGAACCAGCGCGGGCGGCCAGGGTGTAGATCGAAACGAGGGGGCCGTATGATAGCCAGGGATTTGTTTCGCCCGCTGTTGTCGGCGCGGACCGCGACCTCGCCACGGTCCCGCCGCGGTGACTCGGGACGGTCCGCCGCGTTCTCTCTCCTTCGACAGCGTCGACGCACGACGCCGGGCCGCCGCTAGCTCCCAGCACGCGCAGTCCCAGGTCGCAATTCCGGAGGGGTCCGCAGGCGCCTCGGCCGAGGGCGCGGGTGCGGCGAGCCGCCGCCACCTCGAACAAAACTCTTAGAGGTGCTTCGGGCTCAGGCAGGATGGCAGTCGACGGCGTGCAACTGCGACTTCGGGACGTGCAGTCCGTCGAGGCCGATCCCGACACGTTGTCCTTCCTTCAGAACCACAAGGACTTCGACCAGGACGTCCGCGCGGCCATCAACGAGCGCGGCTGCACGGCGAAGAAGCTCTACTCCGCGCTCACTGCGGCCGGCCTGGAAGCCGCGCTTCCGCAGCGCCAAGACGGGTCCCGAGCGTTAGCGCAGGCGAGTTGCGGAGGCAAGAGCGGCATCGTCACGGCGTTGAACGCCTACGTGGCGTCTCTCCAGGACGCGCGCGGCAACCGGGCGCGGAACCGCGGCGGCGGCGGCGCGCTGCCCGAGCCCGAGGAGGCCGACGCCCGTGTGCCCGACGAGCACACGATGAAGGAGCTGTGCGCCGCTGACGACTGGCCGCACCGCGTCGAACTGCGCGCGCCCCTGGGAGACTTTGCCGACGCGGCGGCGGCGAGGGAGTGGTACGCGCAGCAGTTCGAGTCCATCAACCCGAAGTACCTCTACCGCTACGACCCCGAACAGTTCTCCGGACCGCCGCGGTTCTACACCGGCGACGAGGACCTGGACCTCGTCCAGCTCTTCACGGAGATCCGCGCGCGACGGATGGCGGATCAGACGTCGATGGCGCTCCTGCAGGTCACGTCGTCGTTGGGCGGCGCCAAGCCGCGCGCTTCCGGAGTCGAGCGGCGGCTGCGCAGCGTGCAGGCGCGCGCGACGGGGTCGCCCCTGCCGCGCGCTGACCAGGCCGTCGTCGACGCGACCGTCGCGAACCGGGCCTCGGAAGCGGCCGCGACGTATCGAGACCGCAGGGAGAACGGCGTCTTCGCTCTGGCCGGAGGTCCGAGCTCGACGCTGGAGCGCATCATGGCCTCTGCGCCCGAGCCGGCGGCGAAGAAGCAGAAGCGATGGAACACTACGTGGCTTTCGAAACCTTTCAGAGCGGCCATGGGCACGCTCAAGAACGTGTCCGCCAAGAACGTCCGGAACCACTTCGGAGGAATTTCGCGCTGGTTTTCCAAACAACTGTGCGACGCCGAGAGCAAGCGGCGCCGCCGCGCCGCCGCGCCGCCGCGGCCGCGCCGCCGCGCGCGCGTCTCCTGCCGAGGTCCCTAAGCCCGAGTCCCGCGGCGCCCCGAGCCCCCGGGCGGGAGCCGTGCGCGCGTACTACCGGCGCTATTCGCGGGATTAGGCGTCGCGCGGCGCCCTGGCAGTGGCGCGCTGCACTCGTCTGGGCGCCCCAAGCCGCGCGTGCCGGCGCCCGGCCCGGCCCGGGGCCGCTGCGGAAGGCGCCGGGGCGCGGGAACCGCCGCCCCGGACCCCCGGACGCCATCGCGACGCAGCGCGACGGCCCCGAAGGTCGCGAAGGGCGTCTTCTCCGCGCCGGGCTCTCCGGCCCTCGCGGCCGTCCTCGCGCCGGCGGCGACGACTTCGGCCGCGCGGGCGCCGCCGGCGTTCGCGAGCCTCCGGTCCCCGCCGGCGATGACATCGAACGACGCGTTCCCGCGCCGCGCGTCGCTGCGGCGGACCGAGGCCGCGCGCGGCGGCCGCCCGCGGCGCCCGCGGACGTCGTCGCCGGCGCGCCGCGGGCTCCACCGGCGAGACGACGAGCAGCGAAGACACCTAGACGGCTCCGCGGTCGGCGCGCGAAGTGTGCCGAAAGGTCCGACGGCCCCGAAGTCTGCGCGGCGCCGTCGGGCGGAGGTAGGCGGCGCCGCGCGCCGCGGCTGCGATCCCGTTACTCGACGCGTCCGCGCGCGTCCGGGTGACCACGAACGTCGACGCCGCTTCGCAGCAACCTCGGCGGGGTCCTGGCGGACCGCCCGATATTCTTGGATCGGCAGGAGGCGGCCGCGGCGCCGAGAACGGCGGTCGCAAAGCCGATTACCTCAGGCGCCGGCGCTGGTTTGCGTAGAGCGCTTCGAAGCCCTGGCTGCACTGTCGACCCAGACCGCCAATTGAAGCAAGCATGGTCGCGCGTTCTGCCCTCATCACGGCCGTCCTGGTCGTCGCGCAGACCTCAGCGCTCGCGCCGAGACCGCAGAAGTCGCCGGTACTGCAAAAGCCGCCGTCGCAGGCGCTGTCGCCTCGATGGCCGGCGGGCATCGGTGCCGTCGCCGCTGCGGCGCTCGGCTTCGCGCCGCAGGCCTCCTGGGCCGACGCGAGCGTGCTCGCGGAGACCGGCGACGTCTCGGCGTGGGCCGCGTCGCTCGGGAGCCAGGACAAGGTGGCGATCGTCGTCCTCGCGTTCCTCGTCGTCGTCGTGATTCCCGCGCTCGTCTCGGACCTGCTCGAGACGCAGAAGGACCCCGCGGCGGCCATCGCGAAGAAGCAGCAGAAGCGCGTCGCGCCGCGTCCGACGGCGCGCCTCGCGCCTCATCTTTTCCCTCGCAGGCTCAAGGACCTCGAGAACAAGTACTCGTTCGTGCCGGGCGCCAAGGCCCCGGACGGGCCGGCGCTGACGCCCGAGGAGGCCGCCAAAGCCGCGGCCGCGGCGAAGAAGGCCGAGGCGGAGAACGACGAGGCCGACGAGCTCCTCGCGTCCGTAAACGCGCTCCTGGACAAGTAGGCCGCGCGAACTAACAGAATCCACACATCCCGCCGCGAGTCGATATTTACGGAACCCTACGCCTCCATGGGCGTTGGTCGCGCCGGCGGCGCCGCCTCGCCCGCGGCCGCGCGGACGTCGCGCATCTTCGGGAGGACCTCGACGGACATGCCCGCGGCGATCTCCGCCTCCGTCTGCGAGTACTTCGTGTCCTCCTTGAGTTCCTTGACGCGGCGCTTGTAGGCGCGCGACTTCTTGTGGTCGTCGAGGCCCTTCTGGTCCGCGAAGTGCTTGCCCGTCTCGACCTGCGGGCGCGACCGTCGCGCGCGCGCGCGCGGGGCGGAGCGTCCGACGCGGCGGGACGCGCGCAGTAGAACTGGCCGCCGCCCGGCAGGTCGTCGTCGAAGGGGATGACCTGCGGGCCCAGGGCCTCGGCGCGCTTGATGTCGTCGAAGACCTGGTCCACGTCGCGGTCCCGGCGCTTCGTGTCGCGCGACCGCTTGTACTTTTTGATCTTCGCGTGCGCCTTGGGCTTCTGCTTCGTGCGGCCCATGGTTTCGGATGCGAGCGGGCAGGCGGCGGCGGCGGCGGCGACGGCGCGCGAGCGGCCGCGGCGTCGATGCCGAGCGCGAAAGCGCAGGCCCAGCTCGTCGCCCGAAGCGCCGAGGCACTGCTGGCCTCAACATCCAGCAGATCGGCGGAGTTGCCCCTCTCCGAAGGCTGCCCGAGACGGCTGGCTCCAGACGAGGTAGCCCATTTTCTCGTCGAGGCGCGCGGCCCACGAGACGCTCGTCGCGCACACGCTCGAGGTCGCGCGGGTCATGGGCAAGGGCGGCGTCTACGCGCCCAAGGGCGAGATCCCGGAGTACGCCGAGGCGTTCAAGAACGCGGGCTACGGCACGTCGGGCGCGTCCGCGGACGTCGAGGCGCGCGTCGTGCACCAAAAGGGCAAGCCCATCAAGGGCCAGCCCGAGGAGGGCGACTTCGCCGTCGGCGCGGTGACGGTCAAGGAGCTCGGCGTCGCCGAGGTGCGCGTGAAGACGCACTGGGCGTCCGTGGACCCCTACATGAAGTTCCCCATGCGCGCGCCCGTGCCACCGACGGAGCCGGCCGGCGGCGCGAACTGCGGCGAGTGCGTCGGGGAGGTCCTAGAAAGCGAGTGCATCGGGTTCCAGCCGGGTGATATCGTACGCGGCCGCTGGGGCTGGGGCGACGTGCGCAACATCCACGGCGCGGACCTCACCAAACTCCGGACCATCCACGACGGCCGGCCGTCGACGGCGCTCGGCGTGTTGGGCATGCCCGGGCGCACGGCCTACTTCGGCCTGTTCAACATCCTCAAGCCCGAACCGGGCCAGACCATCTTCATCTCCGGCGGCGCGGGCTGCGTCGGGTCCTGCGTGGCCCAGATGGCCAAGGCCAAGGGCTGCAAAGTCTACGGGTCGACGACGCACGCGTCCAAGGTCGCGTGGATGGAGTCCATCGGCTACGAGGGCGTGCTGAACGGCTACTACATGGGCGGGCCGCCCCACTACGAGTCCGCGCTGCGGAAGCTGATGCCCGACGGCGTCGACCTCTTCTTCGACTGCGTCGGCGGCGAGCTCTCCGAGGGCGTCTTCCGCCTGCTCAACGACGGCGGCCGCGTCGCCGTCTGCGGCGCGATGTCGACCTACTGCGCGGCGAACCTGGGGGCGGCGCTGATCGGCCCGCTCTACAGCCGGCGGGGGCTGCTGTGCGGCCTCTGGAATCTCGCGACGAACAGGGCAGGAAAAGAGTGATTCAAGTTCGCTTCAACATGAGTGTTCCGCGCGCGCGCGTTCCGGCAAAAGCATCCACGCGTCGAGAGCGCTCCCAGAGATGATCGCTCGTCCAAAAATTAGCCGAAACGAGTGGAAAATGACCGAGATAGGAGCCTTTGAAGTTGGGAATGTCGCTCTCTTGTCCTGCCCAGGCGACGAACGCGACGGAGGCGCTCAACAACCTCAAGTTCGCAAACATGGCGCGCGTGGAGACCATGAAGGCCATGGGCGCCGCCCACAACCTCCAGGAGGCCCCGCACGACTTCGAGTTCCCCGACGGCCGCAAGATCACGTGGGAGGCCTTCGTCGAGGGCCGCTTCTTGGTCGAGGAGGAGGAGGCCGAGGACTACCTCGCGGCGATGATCGACGCGGGGACGCTCAAGTACGAGGAGGATATTGTTGTTGGCGACCTCGACGTCATCCCCGACGCGTTCTGCCGCCTCTTCCACGGGAGCAACCACGGCAAGATGCTCGTGAAGCTCGATCCAAAAATCGGCGCGGAGAACAAGGTGAAGAAGGCCGCGGACATGGCCGAGCGCAAGAAGCAGCGCGCTTTGGACGACGAGGAGATGAAGCGCCGCGACGCGTTACTCAAGGACAAGCAGACGGCCGCGTGGTTCGCGGACAGAGCCAAGCGGGCCAACGAGGCCTGGCAGGCCGAGGTCGACGACTTCATGGGCCCGGCGAAGGAGTGAGTCGTCGTTAGAGGTCGGCGCGCGGCCGCCCCCGGGTAAGGGGGGTGCGGCGGCGTGTTTTCGTGTGTCGGGGTGCGGTTGGGGTCTTGGGGAATGCACGGCGCCCTTGGGCCGCGGTCGTCTACTTCTCGTCGTCGGAGAAGTCGCAGTCGCCGTAGCGCCAGACGCCGGCGCGGGAGCTGCGGGCGGCCTCCTGGAGGGCCTTGAGCTTCGTGGCGAGGTCGTCCTTGGCGTACTTGGAGCCCTTGGGGAGCCGCGCGAGGCCCGCCTCGACGAGCTGCTCGTTGATTGTTTTCGCGTCGTCGCCGGCGGACGCGAGCTTCAGGGCGACCATCTTCTTCTCGGCGCCGCGGACGAAGACCTCCGTGACCGTCAGGTCCTGGCCCCAGCAGAGCTCGTGGACCGTCTTCGCCGCGTCCTCGCCGTAGTCGTCCTCCAGCGACGGCGCCTGGACGTGCGCCAGGCCGACCTCGAGCGCCGCGTAGGGCAGCGCGGCGTAGCCCGCGTCCAGCGGCGCGAGGGTCTTCGCCGTCACGCCGACGTCGACGTTGCCGAAGTCGAGGAACTTGATCTTGTAGGTCTTGGCCTCCTTGTCGACCTCGAGCACTTTGGCGCGGTACCAGGCGTCGCCGGAGCCGTCGTCGAACTTCGCCGCGACGACGGCGTTGCGCCGGTACGTCGCCGCGGGATCGGCGGCGCCGGCGAAGCCGGCCATCTTCGCGAGGACGGCGTCGAGCTTGGGCGTCGCGCCGGCCTCCGTGACCTCGGCCAAATGGAGCGACGAGCCGTCGGTGATGTCCGCGACCTTGGCGCGGAACGTCTTCGCCTTGGGCGGCTCCTTGGGCTCGGCGACCTTCTCGGCCTCCTCGCGGTTCTTCTCGTCGGCCCACAAACCGAGCTTGAGGTCCTTGGCCGTCGCCTCGAGCTTGGCCCACCGCGCGTCGCCGGAGCGGTAGCGGTCGACGCGCGCGAAGCCCCGGGCCAACAACCGGCTCTCGAAGGAGTCGTCGTCGACGTCGACGGCGGGCATCTTGACGCCGCCGCCCTCGCCGAGGGCCGCGAGGTCGTTGCGCGACCGCTTCGCGTCCTCCGGCAGCAGGCGGATGCCGCCCAGGCCGACGCCGTTGCGGTCCATGTCCGCGACGCTGACGTCGACGGTGCGCTGGAGCAGCGTCGCGCGCGAGAAGGCCTTGGCCGCGTCGCCGGCGAACTCCTCCTGGGGCCGCGCGGCGGACGACGCCGACGGGCTCCGGCAGCCCGCGAGCGCGAGGACGAGCACGCAGCCCTCGGACGCGACCTTGACCTTGAAGCGGCTCCCGGAGAACACGGCTTCCACCGTCGCGCGCACGGACCGCTGGCGCTGGAGCGAGGGCAGGAAGGTGCGCGCGCGCTTCGCGTCGCCGGCGAGGTCCGCGACCTTGGGCGGCGGCGGCGGCGCCTTGCCCGACCAGAGCCGGAGCTTCTTGGCCTTGGCGTCCGTCTCGGCCGCGACGAGCTGCTCGTAGCGGCCCGCGCGCTCGTCGGAGTTGCGCGGCGGCGTCACGGCGGCGAGGCCCAGCGCGAGGAGCGCCTCGCCGACGTCCTTCTGCTTGTCCTCTGGCACGGGCGCGGGCGCCTTGCCCTTCTTCGCGTCGGGCAGCGTGCAGACGCGCGCGAAGACGAGCTTCATGGTCTTGCCCTCGTCGGCGTTGCCCACGGGGATCTCGCGCGCGTACTCGACGAGCACGCGGCAGCGCTTGCCGATGCACGCGTGGCGGAGCGCCTCCTTGGACTCCAACGACCAGGCCTCCTCCTTGCGGCCCTGCTTCGCGTTGCCGAGGCGCGGCGCCTTGAGGGACGACAGGGACACGCGCGCCTCGGTCCCCGACGACGAGAGCACGACGACCTGGTCGCCGGAGACGACCTCGACGACGACGCCCTCGAAGTCCGCGTCGATGTTCCCGAGGTTCGGCTTCGCGTAGCCCTTCCAGACGCGGAGCTTCGCCGCGCGCGCCGCGGACTCGGCCGTGCGCATGGACGACGCCTCCGCCGGGTCCACGGCGCCCATGCCCATCTCCTGGACCTTGCCGAGGCCCTCCTTGAGCACCGCGACGCCGATCTTCGCGCCGGACGCGGCGTGCGACACGCAGCCCAACGCGTTGCCGAACTTGTCCGCGCCGCAGAAGGTGATGGACACCTCTCTGTGGAGCAAGCGCGTCTCCACGAAGTGCTTGGCCTCGAGCGCGAAGGGCTCGGGCGGCGGCGGCGGCGGCCGCGCGGCCGCCGCGTCGTCGCCGTCGCCGTTCTCCTTGTTCTCCTTGGCCGGCGCGCGGAAGGGCACCTTGCCGCAGCGCACGCCCGCGAGCTGGACGTTGACCATGGCCATCTCCGACGGCTCGCCCGTGACGACGAGGCACTTGAGGTTGGAGCCGTCGCGGACGTACTCGACGATGCCCCGCGCGGTGGCACCGAGGGAAGACGCGTCCGCGCCCGTCCACTGGACCGTGCGCACGGCGGCCTTCTTCGCCGCGGCGTCGGCCGTGTGCTGGCCCAAACCCGCGGCCTTGGCCTCGGCCTCCGCGGCCTCGAGCTCGGCGTCGTCGGACTTGCCGCTCCGCGAGCACCAGCCGGCCTTGACGAGGTGCGCCGCGACGGACTCGGGCGGCCCGCCGGCGGTCTTCGGCTGGGTCCAGACGGACCCGTACTGGCGCGCGCCCGCGCTCGCGCCCTTGGCGTCCACGCGGAAGCTCACGGTCCGGCCGAGGCAGTGCTTGCGGAGGTAGTCGCGCGCGGCCCACGCGAAGGGCTCGTCCGTGGAACCTGCGACGGTGGTGCGGTGTCCTTTCCGGTGTACACCGCTTCCCCGGGACGCCGGTCTCGCGTACCGCTGCCGCGCGCGAGGCGGGGCGCGTTGACGCCGCTGAGCGTGAGCTGCAGCTCCGGCGGCGGGCCGTTGCTCGCGCTCCGGCCCATGAGCAGGAGCGTGTCGCCCGTGAGGACGCCCTTGACCGTCGCGTAGCCGGTCGCCATGTTCTTGGGCTCGGGCGCGACGATACGATGCGAGGCGCTCCGAAGCGACGGCAGCGAGCACTGCTGCTCCGCGATCGATCGGATCGAGGTGTCGCTGTTTGCTCTTGAAGAGATCGTGAAGTGTGAAGATCACGACGCAAATAAGTACGCGTACGCAAATGATGCCGTGCGCACGTGCGCAACGCGTAGGACATGACACTGTCCGTGGACTTGTCCGTCCACGGCGCTGCGTGGCGCCGTCGGTCTACGCCGAAGCCGGGCGCTCGCCCGCGCCGCACCTTACGAAAACGCACGGACCCGCCGCCTCAGCACGTGCCCGCGTCGCACCAGTAGAGGCAGCCCTCGCCCGGGTCGCCGGAGTCGCACGCGTTCGCCTCGTCCTTGGCGGCGGCCTTCTGCTCGCAGCCGGGCATGATCTTCGTCTCGTCGCCGTCCATCTGGATGCCCCAGCCCGTCGGGTCGATGACGTAGTGGACGCCGCCGCCCGTCGCGCCGGGCCGGTGCGTGTCCGGGCACGAGTAGCGCACGTCCGGGTGGTCCAGGATCCAGTCGAGGAACGCCTCGTGCGTGATGTCCGTGTCGATGGCGAAGTGGTTGTCCATCCAGCGGTCCATGGCGCAGTCCGGCGTGCCGTCCAGATAGTAGTCGTGCGTCGCCTTGAGGAGCGCTTCGAAGTCGCCGACCTTGAAGTCGCCGGCCGTCGCGTCGTCGCCCCGTTTGACGAAGCACACGTCCGCCGTCGTGCCGTTGATCTGGAAGCACTTCTTGCGCACGTCCGCGAGCTCGAGGCCCATGGTCTGGCGCGCGCCGAGGCCGAAGCGGTAGAAGTCGTGGATCGCGGTCAGATTCGTCGCCGCGCGGCTCACGGAAGACACGAGCAGCCGCGGGTCGCCCTTGTGCAGCGCCCCCATCTGCGCGATGCGGTCGTCGGTCATGCGCTGCTCCAATTTTATGGCGACCTTGTTGTGCGAAGGCGGAAACAGCGAGACGAGCTCCACCACGAGCTGCGTCTTCGGCACGTGGAAGTAGACGGAGTAGCCCGTTTTTTCAACACCATAAGGCCAGGTCGCCGGCAGCCAGGGCAGCCCCAGCGCCTCCAGGTTCGCCACGTACCAGTCGAGGGTTTGAGTATACAGCGCCGCGTTGTAGTCGAGGAACGCGTCGAAGCTCTTCAACCCCTCCAGCTTCTCTGTGAACTGTGCTTCCACAAAAGCGATGGACGCGTTGCCATCACTATGACCCTCGACGCTCGTGATATGTAATCCAAAACACTCGCCCTGGAAGTTCTCGGCCGTCTGGTTCTCCGCGCCGCGGACGTAGACCGAGCTCTCGCAGTCGTCGTCCATCGCGCAGGCGTTGCAGCAGCCCGCGGCGCTGTGGGCGGGCACGACGTAGGCGTACTGCACGGGGCCCGGCGTCGCGGACCCGTAGGCGCAGTCGTTGCCGCTCGCCCAGGCCGGCGGCGTCGTCCGCACGTCTTCGGACGTCGCGCGGAACGTCTGCCCCCGGAACCCTTTCGAAGATCTAACAAAACAGCTGCCGATCATCGCCGGCGCCTTGAGGGTCTCGACGCGGCCCATGACGATGGGCCAGGCGTCGGGCATGTAGGACGTGCCCGCGGGGCAGACGGCGACGTCCGCGGGGAAGGAGTCGCGCGCCACGGTCATGTTCAGGGCCCTTAGTAGCAGCGCGCCGCCGGCCCGCGCGGACTCGGCGCTCGTGGCGTAGGTGCTCTTCGCGAGGCCGCCGAGGTGGCAGTCCGCAGCCGCCGCGCCGGCGGCCAGCGCCGCCAGGGAGAGCCACATTGCGTAGCCAATCACACAGGTTCAATAGTGCAGCACTAATCGGCAACCGGAAACTTGCAGGAGGTGACAAGGACTTCTGTCTACTTCTGGGGCCGCGACGTGGGCGTTCCTCGAGCGCGATGGGATCCTCAGAAGCCGGCGCGTCGCCGCCGTCGACGCCGCCAAGGCAGCCCGACAACGGCAAGCGGCCGCGGCCGCCGAAGCTCTGGGCCGCGGCGCCGACGCCGCGCGCCGACGGGGCGCGGAGCCTCTGCGGCGTCTGCGGGCGCCTCACGTCCGGCGTCTGCTCCGGGTGCAAGTTCGTCCCGATCTGCAGCGTCAACTGCCTCCGGTCCCTCTGGGACACGGAGCACCGCACGTTCTGCCCCATCATGTCCGGCGGCGGCGCGCGCGCCGGCCCCTTCGCGACGGCCGGCCCGCGCGCCGCGACCGTCGGCGACCTCCGCGCGCACCTCCGCGACAGGCCCTGGCTCGGCAAGGAGTGAGCGCGCGGCGGCGCGGGCGCGGGCGGCGCGCTCGTTGCGCGCGCGCGGCGGCGGGACGCGCGCTCGACATCCCCCCCGGCTCGCGCGCGCGATCCCCCCCGGGGGCTCTGGTAAGACGGCGCTCCCCGACCACTTAGACCCTCCAGTAGAGGTTCGTGAAGTCGTGCTTGTCGACGTACTTGCGGTTGTCCTCGCACATGGCGTCGAGCTTCCGCGTCGTCTCGCGGCGCTGCGCGTCGAGGACGGACTCGTGGGCCGCCGACTTGTGGTGCAGGTGCATCTCGCGCGTGGCGATGCGCTTCGCCGCCGCGCGCTCGCCGTCCGTCATGGCCTGGTGGTGGTCGTGGACGGGGGCCTCCGGCGCCTTGGCCGTCTTCCGGCGCACCGCGGCCTTCTTTTCAGACGCGCGGCGGCCTGGGCAGGACAAGAGAGATTCAACGTCGCTTCAACGTGAGTGTTCCGCGCGCGCGCGTTCCGGGAAAAGCATTCACGCTTCGAGACCGTTCCGAGAGATGATCGCTCGTCCAAAAATCAGCCGAAACGAGTGGAAAACGGCCGAGAAAGGAGCCTTTGAAGTTGGGAATTTCGCTCTCTTGTCCTGCCCTGGCGGCGGCCGCGCTCCTCGTACTCCGCCTGGCGTTCGATCTTGCGCGACAGGAAGTCGACGGGCTTCTCCTCGAGGGGCGCCGCGTCCGGCGCGAGGGCGCCGCCGCCGCGCCAGGGGAGCGTGTAGGCCGACACCCAGGCGAAGACGCGGTCCGCGTCGTCGCGGTCCTTCTTCCGCGGCAAGAGCGCGTCCGCCTTGGCGAGGGCCTTGCGCTTCAGCGCCGGGAGGATGGCGCGCCGCGCGTCGTCGAGCGCCTCGAAGACGTGGGGCGGCAGTTTCGCGTCGTCCGGCACGTCGAGCGCGTCGCCGCTGAGGAAGTTCTCCGCCGGCGCCACTTCCGCTCCCTTCTTCCGGTCCAGGGTCGGCAGGAGCGCGTTCAGCGTCGTCGCCGCGTGGGTCTCCGCGGCGAGGAAGCCGTGGCCGTAGAGGTAGGTGAGCGGCTCGCGGCGGCGCAGCGCCGCGAGGCACGCGGACGGCGACGCGAGCTGCACGGCGCTGCGGAGCGCGTGGCGCGCGGCGAGCAGCGGCGCGACGGCGGCGAGCGCCGCCCGCCCCTGGGCGAGGAGGTCCGCGTCGTCCTCGGCGCAGCCGGGCGTCGACACGCAGACCTCGATCGCGTCGGCGATGGCCTCCGCGGAGCTCAGGGTCGCGAGGTGCTGCCGCGCGAAGGACGCGGGGGGCAGCAGCGCGCTCCAGGCGCTCAGCGACGACGCGTCGTCGCCGCCGTCGTCGAGGGGCTCCTGGCCCGCGGCGGCGATGGCGTCCTTGAGCCGGCGCGTCGCCCGTTTCCGCGCGTAGACGCGCGCGAGCGCGCGCTCCGCGGCTTTGACGGCGCCCCGGGGCGCGAGGTCCGCGGGCAGGCCCGCGTCGAGGTCGTCGCTCAGCGCGGCGAGCGCGGCGGCGAGGGCGTCCTCCTCCGCGGCGCCCTCGAGGGCCGCCGCGTGCGCGTCGCGCCTCGAGAACGCGCGCGCGCGCGCGTCCGCGCGCGCGAGGAGCGCCGACACGTCGCCGTCGCTCGCGTGCGCCGCCAGGTAGGCGTGGGCCTTGTCCCGCGCGGCGTCGAGGTCCGTCTTGTCCGCGCTCTTGAGCGCGCGGCGCAGCGCGGACAAGACGCGGAGCCGCTTCACGAATCGCCGCGCGAGGAATTTCCGGCACGACGTCTGGATGTGGAGGAGCAGGCCCGCGAGCTTCGCTAAGAATGCGTTCGCGTCGGCGATGGCCTTGTCGGCGGCTCGCGTGTCCTCCTCGATGGCCTTCTGTTTCGCGGCCTCCTCGGCTTCGGCCTTGGCCTTGGCGGCCTTCGCCTCCTCCTCCCGCTTCTTGCGGGCCGCCTCCGCGGCCTTCTTCTTGAGCCGCGCCTCGCGCTTCGACCCCTCCGTGCGCAACATCTTGAGCTGGGCCTTCATCCAGGTCTGGATGGCCTTGATCGACGCCTCGACGGCCTTCTCGTACTTGCGTTCCAAGAGCCCCCGGACCTTCTGGTCCCGGAGGAAGACCTTGGTCTTGCCGACGGCGATCTGGGCCGACGCGAGGTCCTTGGCGTCCAGGTACGCCCTGCGCATGCCGTCGGCGGCGGCGACGGCGCTGCCGGCGCCGGACAGCGCGGCGTCGCAGAGCCGGATCGCGGCCTTTTGCGACGACGGCAGCGTCCGCGCGTAGCGCTTCACGAAGGCCTCCAGGGGCACGCGCACGGCGTAGCCGGCCTTGCGGATCCGTATGGCCTCGAAGAGGCCCGCGTACTTGAGCTGGCGCAGCACGAGCGGGTTCTCGAAGCGGCCCGGCAGCGCGAGCTGGTTCGGCTTCACGCAGCGCGCGAAGTGCGGCGCCGTGTCTCGGAGCTGCGCGTCCAGCCGCCCGAGGTCGGCCTTGAACTTGGACGCGATGGTCGCGTTGCCCTTCTTCTTCGCGCGGCCCCCGGCGTCGGCCTCCTCGACGGCCGGCGGGAAGAGCTTCGCGACGAGCGGATTTTTGGATTTCGCCAGGCACCTCCGTAGCCCGGGCAGGAGCGCGTCCGCGTTCTTCTCGAGCCAGCCGACGGCGTCGTAGGTCACGGGCCCCGCGAAGTGGTGGACCGTGAAACACATGGCCGACATGGACGGCTTCGCCTTGGAGTAGTGCGCGTGGTCCGCGTGGTGGTCGTTCAAGACGGCGACGAATTTGGCGTCGGAACCGCCGGGCGTGACGCGCTGCTCGTCGAGCGCGCTGAGCACGCCCCGAGCTTTCGGTGCTTCTAAGAGCTCCAAGCACGGGAGGTTGTCCGCGAAGACGATGTCGTCGCAGGGCACCTCTTCCTCCTTGTAGATGGCCATCTCGCCCTCGAAGATGACGTCGTTGAAGTGCTTCTGGAGTTTCTCGTTCGCGAGGTTGATGCAGAGCTGCTCGAAGCTGTTCTGCTTGAAGACCTCGAAGCCGAAAATATCTAAGACGCCGACGAGCGTCTCCTTCTTGATGCCGCCGCCGGCCTCCAGCGCGCCGTCGACCGTCTCCACGAGCCAGGAGAAGCAGCGGCCGTACAACGCCTTCGCGAGCGCGTCGCGCGCGTCGGCCGCGGCCTCGGGCCGCAGCGGCGAGAGGATGGGCTCGCCCTTGGGCTGGGGCACCTCCTTGTGCGTGAGGCCCCGCTCGAGGTCGCCCAGCAGGTCCGTCAGGCCCGCGAACTCCGCCGCGAGCTGTAAAGTCTTCACGTCGCCGACGACGGAGCCGTCGCCCTCGGCCGCGGCGTCGAAGGCGACGTCGCCCGCGTGCAGGACCGCGGCGACGACGCGGAACAAGTTCGTCGTGTCGTCCTTGGAGAAGCCGAGGTCCTTGAGTGCGCCGAGGAGCTCGTCCGTCTCCCGCTCCTCGTCGCGGCCGGGGACGGCGACGCAGCCCGACGACGACAGGTAGGCGTGGTGCGCCGCGCCCTTGAGCTTGAGGCCGCGGGACGCCTCGAGGGTCTGGGCCATGTAGAGCGCGTGGTAGTTGCGCTCGCCGTGGAGCTGCCGCGACACGCGCGCCGTCTCCAGCAGGTAGTGGTCGATGCGGCAGCCCGCGATGGCCGGCGTCGCATCCTTGAAGCCCAGCTCGATGATCATCCACTTGCCGAAGCGGCTCGAGTTGTCGTTGCGCAGGGTCTTCGCGTTGCCGAAGCTCTCCAAGATGGGGTTCGACTGCATGATCTGCTTCTCGATGGACGTCTCCGAGGCGTCGCCGGACGCGGTCGCGTGGGCGATGAGCGCCAGGATCTTTTTGGTGGTCTCCGTCTTGCCTGCGCCGGACTCGCCGGAGATGAGCACGGACTGGGGCTTCTTCTCCCGCAGCGCGCCGAGGAACGCGCGCGCGGCCGTCGCGTAGACGTGGGGGGCGGGTTTGACACCACCGGCCTGGGCCGCGCGCTCGACGCTCAGGCACCTGGCCATGGCGTCCTCGGAGTAAAAGGCCCGGGGCAGGTTCTGGAAGGGGTTCACGGCCACGAGAATGGAGCCGACGAACGTGTAGATCTCCGAGTTCTCGTAGCGTCTCCCTAGCTGGTACGCGATGGCCCCTTCGCTGTAGCTGTCGAGCTCCACGAGGTTGTCGACGACGGTCGCTACCGAGCCCGCGTCGACGGGCTCGAGCTCGCCGAGCTTGTCCGCGCCGAGGCCGAGCGTGGAGCCGTCGGGCCGCGTGAGCGTCGCGCGCGCGCCCGTCCGTTCGCAGCGGCACGCGACCCAGGCGCTCTTGTCGTCGCTGACCCAGTAGAACTCGCCGGACGCGACGCCCGACGCCGGGAGCATGGCCGCCGCGAGGGGCGGCGGGCCGTCCATGGGGCTGTGCTCCTTGACGACGGACGACCGCCGCGCGAGCTTGCCCGTGGCTTTGGCGGCCTCGACGATCGATTGCCGCGGCGCGACCTTGGGCGGGGCCATGACGGGCATGCTCCGCGGCGGCGGCGCGGCGTAGGCGCGCACGAGCGCCTCGGGCGGGGGGGTTGTGGGCGGCGCGAGGCCGCTGGGCGGCGGCGGCCGCGCGGCCGGCCGAGGCGGGAGCGAAGCGGGCGGGGGCGCGCGAGGCGGGAGCGCCGCTCGAAGCGGTCCTGGCGCTCGAGGCGGTCCTGGTGCCGACGGAGGCCGAGGCGGTCCTGGTGCCGACGGAGGCCGAGCGGCCGGCGCGGCGCGGGGCGGCG